ATGCTGAAAATATTCGCTTAAGTGACAGTTTCTTGCTGAAAATGTAATATAAGTAAAATACACAGATGAGCCAAAACATTCTGACCACTCACAGATTACGTTGATTATCTTGTAACAGCTTTACATGTCGAGGTTTGGGATGTTAGACGGTGAGTGAACAGTCAGTTCAGCTAGCTTGTTGTACGCTGTTGGACGATGACAAGAGCCAAATAAGATCATGGTCCTCCTAAACAGGCCATCAGGCCACTGCATAAGATCCAGAACGCAGCAGCATGGCCACTCACGTCACTCCACGGCTGCGTCCCCTTCACTGTCTTCCTGTAGCTGCACACATCAGATTAAAAACCTTGATGTTTGTCTACAAAGCCCTTACTGAGCTACACTGTACTGCAGTTACGCTGTGTCTTAATTCTGTATCTCTCTTTCCAGGTATCAGCACTGGCTTTTGTTTCTGACAGTGTCTGAGCTCAAGGCTAGTCTGGACTCTATGACACATTCTCTGAGTGGACAACAAAGCACTTTGGCCTCAAATATACATTTTCTTTCCTTCAGCTTTACACTTCATATTATAAATCTAACAACCCCCCAGGCTAATTCTATTGCCTTATATTACTCTAGAAATCACACAACCCTCCATCACTGTCCATCTGGCTGGATGATTTTAAAGCCTTACTAAAACTAAAACAAATTTACCCTTATAGGCTGTACCAACACATTTCTCTCAAACTGGAAACCACAGATTTCATATTTCAAGGAGTTTATGGAACTGCATTTAGATTAAAACTCACATCAGACCACTCTGAATGACTGTTTAAACTCATCAGCTGAAATGTAAAGACATTTTGTAAAGTCGGGGGACTTTTAAGCCCTTTAAGCTGCATGAAAGGTGAAAAACGTTCCAGATGCTGCAAAGATTTTGGGTGTAACCACAGTGAACGGCACACATGTCACCTGTTCAGCTGTACAGATGACTAAACCTGTTAAACTCTGTTACTGCAATGAGCAGAAAGCTCTCACAGACAAAAACCCACAGATTAACCTCAAACTGAAACCTCCTCTCTGTGTTAACTGGAACTCTCAGCGTTCACACATGCTGTCCCAGATATTAGAGTCTGAGCATTCATTCATCAACTCAATTAAATATTTAACTGTAACCTAAACTTAATTCATTAATACATTAATACAGTGAAACAAAATAAGTTAATAAATACAAATATATACAGGAGTAAAAAATGTATTATTAGTTGAGTGAAACCATTTGAAACTCACGGTGTTGTTTCACAAAACACACAAAGAAATCAATAATTCATCTGCCTGGTAGAAATGTACAAAAATTAACCCCTTTATGCAGATAGAAATTTAAGCACATTGTACTGCTACACTGTAACATTAGTTGTCTTGAGTTATACTAACAGTACAATGATTATTCAGGGTTTAAATTGAAGTAGACACTTGGGCCGAGACATTCAATCACTTCCAGGCTTTTACTCCCATCATTTAGGTTCCAATTGAGCATCAAATCACGAAGAAAATGTGGGAAAAAGAAACAGCTGTTATTTCTCAGGTTTACAATATGTGCTTTCACTCACAGCAGGGATCTCAGCTGAGTTTGAGCTGATTTTGGAGATGCAGCTCCACTAAACAAAGCTCAAAACAAAAGGCTGAATGTCTTTAAGTGCAGTAACATCTCATTTACTCCTCACAGAATGAGCTAACGGTGACAATGAGCTACTGTCCATTTTGAAAAAGTGAATGTAGCGAGAAGATTTTCACCACTTCACTCAGAGACTGAAACACTGAGCGCTTCCATACAGGATTAACTTAGTTTGCAGCCCAGTTTGTGTTTTCAGAGATTCTGATTCTTTTAGCATTTATGCAGAAGTTCTAATTGCTGGAAATCAGCTGCGCTGTTTTCTTGGTTGTCGTCATACCAACAGCTGAGATGACCATGACGTCAGAGAGTTTTGTCGGCGGCGAATGTTTTCCAAAAAGGAACAATAATATAAGACGAATAAAATAATGTCGTATGGTCATACTGGTCATATTAGATCCATTGCTAACAGGCTAAAAGATTATGCTGGTGAATAACCTGTAAATGTATATTATGCATTTTCTCATGTACAAGCATGAGCTTAAATGTATGTAGTCAACATAGTCACGGCATGAATTCCATGCACAAACGCATCCTCTTCTTCAGAGTCTCTGCTCGCAGCTACTGAACCGTCAGTCTCAGCTTCCAGCTCATCGTTGCACCCAAACAACTTCTCATGAACCTCAGCCAAGGTAAAGCTTCTCCTTGTAAAGATGTCCAGAAGTCTTGGAGATCAACAATTATTAGTAAAAAAAAAGTCACAATAAACCGCACAAAACAGAGTCACAGGCATTTTAAAAATGTGGATAAACACTGTAAACAGATTTGAAAGGACAGCTCTGAACCCCAGTGTGATCCAGGGCTCACGCCATGGACGCAAAAGACCATCACTCAAGGAAAACAGTTGTTCAATGGCCAATAACAACCATAGAATCTAAGAGAGAACATCTTCAGCTTTGAATTCATTCACAACTCTATGTGAAAACATTACATTGCGTGGTCCTTAAGAGCTCCAGAGTATTACATTCTGGTTACGATTTGTTTGGAATAAATTAACCTGTTGTGGAAATTAATTCAAGTAAAATATCATTATTAGTGTTGTATTTATACCTCATTAATATTTCAGCTCAGTTCAGTCACTCAGTCAGTCTATAAGCAGTTAAATGTAGCTCCACTTTCATCATGAGGGAAAAGGGGTTTGTGTTTAACCGGCGTTTGACAGATACGGTTCTCACCCAATAAGTTTACAGTAGAATAAATACAGTTTAACCACCCTCATTTCACTCTCTGTCAGAATTAACAACAGCATAGCATGTCCAGTGAGTGGACACAGAGACAGTGTATAAAAGGACAAAACATTTATAAACATATAGTGACAGCAAAAGCACTATTTAGATGTGCAAAGAAGACTAAATAAACTAATGTAAACAAAACTTTAAACAGCTTGTAAACTCAAATGAACAAATTTCTAAGTTGACCGGTCACTCAAACTATGGTAACACTCTGTTTCTTTATCAAGCCAGTAAAAACAAACAGAAACAAACAAACAAACAAACAAACAAAAAAAAACGCTGCAGGCCTGTTAGACTCAGTGATGGTCCAGCAGCCTCTCTGTACTCACCGTCTGTGTCCGTCACTCTGAGGGTCGTGGTGAGAAACTTGCGGACAGTCAGCACTTCTCCCTCTTCAGATGCCGGAGCCTCGCTGGTGGCTAAACTGAGGAACCTGCTAGCGTTTCCCGGGTAGCTAAAGGAGCTATCGGTTAGCGTAACGTCCCACGAAAGGCTGCACTGAGGAACCCCGAGCTGAGGAAGCTGAACAGACAGCTCTGGTCCCACGGAGGCTGCATATAAACCAGCTAACTCAAAGTGCACAGTCCATAGACCTCACAGGGAGCGGGTGTAGCAGCTAAGCTAAAGCTGCTGCTCAGGCTGAAAGTCCCACCTTAGCAGTTAATGCTTCTGTTAGCGACTGAATGCTACTGTTAGCAGATGATGCTACTGCAAACACTCATGTTCACTATTGCTGATTGCAACTAATCACACAGTGTAAGTCTGGATTTAGAGGACATTCAACTAACGTAAAAGCACTGTATTCCATACAGTATTTAGGCATTTTTCACGTTTTAGTAGCTATTGCGGAAATACCCAAAGTCATACATGATTTAATGATTGGTTGGACTCTGCCTAGCAACAATATGCACTGTAATTGGTCACATTTGGGCCAATACTTTTAATGAAATGAGAAAAAACGTCATCTGCGTCCGCGGTTTGTGCCGTCAGTACTCCATACACCAGCTTCCCCAGAAGGAGCAGTTTTCTCTACAGTGTTTTCCCTGCATTTTATTTGAAGTTTTATGAAATCTAATTGCATAAAAATAGACATTAACTGATTATACAGATTATAAAATTGAATTATTATAAACAATATGTGCAATGAATGATGCTACCATGAAAAAAAGCCTAGTAAAGTGAAGCAGTGCTGTGAAGCTGCGCAGCTGAAAGGAGTCTGTTAAGGTAAATTAGCTGACGGTGTAAACTTAGATTAACAACTCAGTACTAAACATACTGTGTTTCATGGTGATAATCCATTGTTTAATATTCGTTTAATTGTTAAATATTTTAACTGGTTGTGAAAGTTTTCCCCACCCCATTCACATTCGCATCCCTGGGTTTCCCCACCCGCCATGTTCGGGTCGTGCCGGGGGTCGGTCACTATTTGCATAGATTTGATGTCCAAACCCAGGTTAGATGGTCTTTCCAACCGATTTGATGGAAAAAGGGATATATGATAATGTCTCAGATTTATCTTTGACAAATGTCAAAAAAGTGGTTTTTATTACACAGACAGAAATATTTGCAAGTGTACGGAATACCATGCTCTTACGTTACATCTAACCCAGTAGGGCTGCAGGATGTTGACATAAAATGAGATGTTGGAAAGCTGTTGGATATCAAAATGACAATATGAGAAGCAATAAATAAATTATTAACATAGAGTGTCTCTGACTGGATGTGACAGAAAAAATACAGACTTTTTTTAAGCAAATAGCAGAACAGAAAATTACAAAAGCAACATTCACTACTGTGCAAAATAAAAAGAGCTGCAATACTAAGAGCTACTTATACCAGAACTACAAACACATTTTTGTGCGCTGAAAGACAGTCAGTATTACCCCAGCAGGTTTTTATAAAAAGGCTAAAAAAACAAATATATATATATATATATATATATATTAAGTCACACATTTTCTCATTTTATTGTTTGTTTACTTGTTAAATATTGTTATTAAATTAATTATACCCAGTTCTAAAAAGAGACGCTTTTATGTGTGTTTCTCAACAAGGACTTTTATTCTATCAGCGGGAGCGGGAGCTGACTAGGCGCTGTTGTAGCAGCTTCAAGCAGTGAGTGGTGAGCAAAGCAGAGCTGCTCTAACAGTCTGAGTTCGGCTGTGTTCAGAGGAGGAGCTGGAAGATGAGCTGAACACCGAGCTGCCATTTTCCTCTCTGAACTGTTTCTCTGAGTTGAGTTTGAGTGACAGGAGCCGTTTCTGCCTCACACTCAGAACACAGCACTGGCTGTGAGAGCAGCTCTAAGGTTTGCTGTGTTTACAGGCTGGTCGTTCAGAGGATGAAGCAGTGTTTTATCTGGGCGCTGTGAGTTCTGTAGTTGGGCTTTTTGTCCAGATGGTAAAGTGACCGGTCTCCGTGTGGGAGAGCAGCTTCAGTCCCAGCACAGAGAAACTCTCATTAGGCTCCTAACGGTTAGTGGTGGTGACGTAATGACGTCTCTCTGACGCTGCGTGTTTGAGGTAATTTGATCTGTTCTGTCGTTGCAGCTCTAACTGTGTGTTTATCGGGGAAACTGATATCGCCATAATGATAAAATATGATTTACCCTGCAGCCGCAAAAACCAGCCAGTCAGACTTCAACAAGACGTGAATCTCCACAAGTGAGCTCTGAAGATGTGATTCCTGCTGTGACCGTTACAGAGACCGTTAAACAGACAGAAGAGGATGGTGAGATCACTTCCTCTCCACTTCAGCGACACTAGATTCAAG